TGCCGGATCCAGGTGGTGGACTGCTCGGCCTGTTGCCCGACCCTGGCAGGGGGGAGTGCTCGACCGGACGCTGGACCTTGGCCATGGGGTGAATGGTGATGGTGGATTTGGCGGCCGCACAGGCCTTCTTTGCCCTTGGACCGCGGTGGCGCGGATGGACTTTTGTGGAGCTTCCAGAGCCCGCTCCTTGGGGGGGGGGAGGGCACTGTTAGGATCCAGAGCGCCTCCAGGTGGCGCTGGAGCTAAGCCCTGCAATTCCTGTACTCACTTGCAGGTGTCTCCAGGCAGCCAGGAACTGTTAGATACCAGACCACCACTGGGTGGTGCTGGAACCTGCAGCTCCAGTGCTCAACTGCGGGTGTCTCCCAGCTGCCAGCACTTCCCGGGAGGGTATTTAAACCCTCCCTGCAGTCAGGACAATGGCTCAGTATCTTATTAGTTCCTGTGTATCCTGAGCCCTGTTACCTGTCTGCAGCCCTGAGCCCTGTTACCTGTCTGCAGTCCTGAGCCCTGTTACCTGTCTGCAGTCCCGATTCCTGCTTGTTGTCCTGTTGCCATTACCTGCTTGTAGTCTGGTTGACATTACCCGCTTGTAGTCCTGTTGCTGTTACCTGTACAGTATATAGCTATTATTGCTCTTGTTATATGTTATAGGTGTCGGGGGTCACATTACTTATCCGTACTTGCTTTTGGTTGTTCATGTTAAGTTTTGCTGTGTATAATAAACTATATATAACACATTTTGCCTTGTCCGGTGTGGTCATACGTGTTTGGTCTTCCTGTGTGGGTACCTGCATACGGTGTGGGGACACCTGTGCCGGTACCCCTGACAGAATACTGAGCCCACGTAATGACCAAATCGACCACATGGGGACCTGCTGGCTTTTTGAGTTATTTCAGTGTCAAGATGGATCTCGAGAGGATGCGTGGTTATGTGCGTTTAGCATCCGAGGCACCGGAGCGCTGCCGCCAGTTATTCCAGGGCTCCCCCAAAGCAGGCCTATTGAAATATGTCCACAGGGCTCATCGTTTTTTGGATATAACTGGTTGTCCTTTTTGGACCAGGGGGTACGTGTGAAAGCCTTTGCCCAACCCCTGAGGTGGTCTGGCCCCCTTTCCAGATCCCGACTGGGTTTAACTGGGTTGCCCGGGACAACAGCAGTAACTACTGCTGCTCCTGCTTATGACTGCTGCTCCTAGTTTGCTATAGCAACAGCTCCTGTCTGTCAATCAGCTACGCCTGTTCCCAAGGCCACTCAGCAAGAACCTTCACGTCTCCTGGCTTACATCTGAGCCGGACGTGGAGGATTTTTTTTTTTTGCATGCTGGCTTGTGAGTGTGCTGGGTAACTTTTCGCTCTACCTGCATATGGTGTGGGGATACCTGTGCCGGTAACCCTGACGGTATGAGTCACTGCCCAACTTGTCATATTGCATGGCCTGATGAGGGGTCCCCATATTAGTAGGACCTTTTGATGAACTGGGGATAGAAGATAGATTAGCTAACGGGCACCAAGTGGTAGTGTAGGTGTAATACCTGGTATGACCACCAGAACAGCAGGAGTTACTGTTGTCCCAGGTACCTCCCAGGTGTTAGGGCACATCTCTACTACCTCCATCCTACTCTGTAAGTAGTTAAATTATTCAGAACCCAGTGTCTGTGAATTAAAGATGAGGAGCAAGGCATGTTCAGCGCTTGTGGATGGCTTGGCTTGTGAGGCACTGGGGAAAAGTAATTTAAACAATTCTGCCTTCTTGGCTGTAGCCGGGAACAGAATGCCTTTTCTTTGCAGTTCTGCTGTAAGTTTCTGCACTGTCAACGTTCTGAGGGATAGAACACTGCCATTTTCTTTTCCTCTGACTGGGGAAATGGATGCAAACTCCTTGATGTCAGATGCCTAAGACATGATAGCTGAAACCACCTGACTGAATGAAACACATTTATTCTGTTCTTGTTTAATAAAATAGTAAACCACCCACATGCTCATCAAGCAAAAAGCGTAATGCCAGAAAACAGACCAGATGCAAAGTTATCGAAATGAGTAACGAATCTGCAAAACGTGGCCATTATGCACATTTGTCGTTTCCACTGAAATAAGTGAAAGTAAACGAGTCCGAGCTAAAAATGAGACGTAACAGGCCAATTACAAATGAGAACTCAGAGCTAACTTTGCTGCTGATGTGGCAGGTAAAAATATGAATTAGATTTGTGGAAAACAGACCGAGTGTAGTAGGGGTATACAGACGAGAACCTTGTAGCCGCTACAAGTGATTAACAATGATCTCTCAGCCCCTATGGTCTCTTTGAGACTATTAATGTAATGCAATGGAACCGTCGTGTCCTTATAATGCGTTATGACCATACCTATATATCAGAATGTACCAGGGATAGCAGAATGTATGAACTGATGGAAAGGAGCGCAAGAAACTACTGCCCCCCACCTGCGTTTTTGGGTAGCCTGTTCACAGAATGACTGAGCTTTCCTAAGGGTATTTGACACCCACTAACAGGTCTAACACAAACAAACACAGAATTAACAAAATACTCTCTAATTTTTTATTTATTTACTTTAATAGTGAACACCCCATGCTCCAATCTTGAGAAAAATGTTGACATAGAACCAATCAGATGAGATGTCATGAGGAATAACTTTTAAAAAATATATATTTTTACATTTAATTTAAAAACTTTTTTAACTTTACTTTAATTGCCATCACATAGGGGGGCTTACAAGCTATTATTGAGTCTATGATCTACCAGAACACCCAGATCTTTCTCCATCATTGACTCCCCCAAACATACTCCCCCTAGTGTGTGTGACGCATGCATGTTTTTAGTCCCCAAGTGCATAACATTTATCAACATTAAACCTCATTTGCCAAATAGATGCCCAATCACACAGTGCATTCAGATCTGCTTGTAGGTTGGAGACATCCTGTAAGGACTTTATTCCACTACATAACTTGATGTCATCTGCAAACACAGAAATAGTACTTTTAATCCCCAACTCTATGTCATTTATAAATAGATTAAACATTAAGGGACCCAGCACTGAACCTTGGGGGACACCACTAACAACCTCAGACCATTCAGAGTATGAATCATTGATCACCACTCTCTGAATACAGTCTTTAAGCTAGTTTTCTATCCCATTACAGATTGAATACTTTATACCTACTGACCTTAACTTATACATTACCCACATAACTGTGTCAAACGCTTTTGCAAAGTCCAACTATACTATATCCACAGCCACTCCTCTGTCCAATTTATTACTCACTTTCTCATAAAAAGAAAGTAGGTTTGTTTGACAAACCCTCAGACAAAATAGGGAAACCCACACATTCAAATATTTATACACTCATTAACCATTTGCTGCCCGGAGCAATTTCTTACATTTGCACACACATGATAAAATATGAATTTTTGGGTAGAAAACAGTTTCGGACCCCCAAACAATGATATATTCTCTAAAAGCAGAGGTCCTGTAGAGTAAAAATGTTTATCAAACCATGTTTAGCAAATGTTTATCAAACCAGTATTTTTAGGATAAAATACACTAAAATGAAATTTAGTGCACAGAATCAGAATATAATGGCTAATTTTTTGGTACAATATAAAAGACGGGGTCATGCCGGGCAAATAGATACCAAACATGTCAAGCATCCATGAAACCGCCACAAACTACAATAACCAAAATTTTCCAT